ATACGTAGGGCAATGTTTTGATCAATCCACAATCCGCGAGTTGATTTCAGCTTTCAGATTAATTAAAGGGTAGAAAATAGATACAAAGATACATCACGATCCACGGAAGTTTCCTGATTTTCCACGATAAAAATATACGATACAATGATTTGGCGAAACGTACAGTGTCTCATTATTTAGAATAAATATAGTCTTCTATAAAATTTGTATGGACGATTTTAGAAGTCATTAAAAAAATTTCTGTTTATATATATAATACATATATATAAACTTAAATTTAAATTAATTTTTAATATTTAAAATGTTTAATTTATAAGGAAAAAGTCAGTTTTATTTAATATAAAGTTTTGTAAAAAATAATAATGTATGTAAAATATAATATAGATAAAAAGGAACTCCAGAAAAATATTTGTTAGATCTTTGAAGCTCTAAAGCACATAAACTATTTAGGATCTTGCAATATAAAATATCAACCTGTATTCGTGTGGTATAATATTGTTTGCATTGCAATAAACTTAAACGAGATTCGATGGAATTTTCATGAGGATGTTAACGCGATAAGTCTCGAAAGAACCATATAAGGATACCGTAATGATAGATCGCATTTCCCTGAAGACGTTGACGACGAAAGTGTCGTACCACAATACCACGAAAGAGCAATTACGAGTTGCCGCAGACGAATAATCAAACGCTACCAAGGATGGCTATGCTATGCTTATTAATTATTTCCAGCAGGGGAATGCAGATCAACGGTTGCGATCAATAGAACAAGTTTAAACTCGGCCTCGCGCGTGCAATACGCACGCAAACAGGTTGTCAGCACCAAATTTAAACCGGGTCATTCGTGAATCATTAAAAAACGTCTCAATTTTATTCTTCGCGCAAAAAAAACAAAAAATATATTAGCAAATTCATTATTTATTAATGAATTCGCTGATTCGTAGTGTCACTCAGCTTATTTTCAACGAAATTAATTCATCATATTTTAAATTTTATAATATTATCGTAATATATTTTATAATACTATCATTATGGTAAATGAGAGAATAATCAGATATATAATTTCGATCATTTTTGTTCGACTTCCTCGATGCTCTTAATTATCCTTCTTTTTTTAAATATTAATACTGAATATATTTGAATAGTACGTACACATTAAAAAAAATAAAAATAATGTCCGCAATAAATTACTTCCTTCAAAAAGATTAAATAAGACATTAAATATGAGCATATTATGAAAGAAATAATATCGGACACGCTATGCGAAACTTACAACGATGCTTTTATTTACGATAATAGTTAGAAAGTTAGAGAATGTAATGCTACGTAATTTGGAGGAGCTAGTGCTTCAAATAATGTTCGCGACACAGTTTTGTCTTATTATAAATTGTTGTATTAAACTGATATATTGATCCATATTATCTTTTAGATATTGTAAAATATTTAAAAATGTTTTTTAAGTGGAGTACTATATATGTATACAAAATATTTTATTTTAATTAATGCATACTATCATAATTAATGCATCATAAAAATCTTAATGAAAATTTTTACACTATATGAATTTATTATATTAATATATAAATAATATAAAAGAAAATGTAAAATAAATAATATAATATAAAACAAAATACTAATATATGAAGGAAAGACATAATAAAATCGTCAGCATTAGATCACATCTATACAAAGAATCGGTTCAAGAAACACTTGAATTTATTGTATTATTTTGTTAAAGTGGAAACTTTTTCTCTCCATTACAAATTTGCATAAAACATTCATAGTTATAACAGTATAAATGTAGAAATATCTATACAAACTTTTTTCAGAGACATGAGAAGTAAAAATTTATGCAAAAGAAATTTATATAAAATATTACTTTTTATTTTATTCTAACTTTTATTATTTGTTTCTATCGTTTCTCTCTCGTTGAATAAGCAAGATATCAAACCGCAACATAGCTAATCGACCATCACGCTTATTTACTCGACCACACTAATTTCCAGCATTTCTATTGTAATCGGCAAAACTGCGGGTTCTACGCATAGCCGCGACCTCGGTGGTGTCGAACCTTTCGCTATCGATCTAAACGACGACGACGGTCACGCTCACTCGAATCGTGCTAAATAAATCGACAAAGTAATAGAGAGTGTATTGCGTTCGACAGTGATAATGACAATTGCATGTAATTCCGGAAAACAAAGCGGTAATCGATTTCATCGAGCAGCAAATCGCGCATGGAACGAGACGCACTTGCGAATGCATTGAGATAATATAAGCATTTATTCGACAAATCGAATGGAACAATCGTTAATTTTCTCACTGTAGGTGAAAATATTTATCGATGAAGGTAAATATCATTAAATTATATAAAAATAATTTATAGATATATGTTTTAGATATAAAACGTGAAAAAAATATTTAAATGCTTATTAAAATATTAAATGTTTATTTAAATACTTATTAAAATATTAAATGTTTATTTAAATGTACATTAATCTTTCATTCTTCATGTATAATTCGGGAATGAATGAGTTAAAAATAGATATTTGCGTTTACCTCTTCAGATGTAACGGCGCCAAATACTCCATAAAGAATCACTCAGGGATCACTTAGTCACTCCGCGGGTATTCTCAATAAGTCGTATTGCTCACTCACTGAACGCTGTGCACTCGCGACTGGCTTCGTCTTTTTTTTTTTTTTTTATTTTTTTAAATTATTATAGTCTTTGGTCGTATCATTTAGGAGCCCTTTTTGTACGAGTGCCTTTAATATCCTGGGCGCGCACGCACTCGCGGTGAAAACCGGATCCTTGATCTGCAATGGATATGCATCTTATCGTGGAAATATTCGTTCGGAAAACGCACACTGCACTTTGGAGCACGTTCATTAGAAGCGACGAAGATAAAGTAATAGAGCAGATGGTCTGTCTGTACGGGTTTACCGACAAGTTTGACGAGTTCTAATTTTAAGAAATCGGAAATTTTATCTATTTAAATAAAAATAAATTATATAAAGCATTAACGAAGGATATAATATAAGGAATATATTGTCTCATCTCTTTTGAAATAGAAAGGTATTTTTTTTATTTTCCTATCTATTTCATCGATCTATAATATCCTACGCTAAATATAATAATATATTTAATATATAGATAAAAATATAAAAATAGATGTTTAGAGATTAAAGTTTTATAACAGTGCTGAATAAGAGCGATTAATAGGGAAAAGTAAATAGTCTCAGATCTCAATAAGATAATTTTGTTTACGTCATTTTTATTTGCGCAACAAGCAATCTTGTAACAAAATGCCAAAAGGCTCTCTCTCTCTCTCAGTACTTAATACATACTAGCTTATTATTTATATATTAATTTTTCCATTCACATATTTAATCCGAATTAAGTCTGTAATAATCATGTTAATGCTTGTCTGTAATAATTTAATTATCGGAAACTAATCAATTCCAATAAAATGTAATCAGATAAATCATCGTAAATTCTTCATTAATCAATCAACTGAATCCGTGATGGATTCATCTTTTTTTTAAAGTGGGCCACTAATCGAATGTCTGCGTCGTATATATTGCCGCAACCACTTTCTAAAGTGATTAAAGTGTTCGCACACACCAGCGTGATACAAAATATCCGATGATGCGATTACTTTCAATCATTTTCTAGAGCGAACGAAAGCCTACAGGTATTACTTGCACGCTTGATCGCTGTCTTATGTATATAATAGTTTTAAGCTTTTAATATAGAATTTATATTACCAAGATAAATATGTACGGGGCGAAAGGTAAAAAAGATCGAAATCATTTGTCCGTGAACGAATTGCGCGTGGAAAGAAGTATATATTTATTCTGTCGCGTAAAAAAAATAGGTATCTGATTTGCGTTACGCCCAGACGACCGCATAATTTCTGATCGAGCCGCCAACACACCTCGTGCACATCCTTGACACCATCTGCCTAAAGGATGTGCTAAAGGTCGGCACCGATGTACATCCTGATGTAATATCACTAAACGGTTAATTTCGCGACAAAAGCATACAATGGTACATACACAGATTTTCACCTCGCGAAAGATGTTCGGAATAGAAGCCAGTAAATCCGATAAATTCATCATTTTAAAAACAAGATTTTGGTTAAAATGCAGTATACTCTTGAAGAGACACCATTTCTTCAATTAATTACTTCGTAAAAGATAATCTGAATATTCTGTTATCAAAAATGACAGATGAAAGTGCGTAAAAGAAATCAGTGAATGGTCGCAGAAATCTTCAAGAAGAAAATGATTAATTCGAGAAAGATATATAAGAATATAAAATGATATTTTTGCCAATCTTAATATCAATTGGGTCAATCGAAAATAATAGTGACAAAATATACGTTAGAGAACATTGCTTTTGAAAGAACATATGCAATCGTTACATGGCGCCACAATCCATAAATCATACTTCGAAATTGCGAGCGTTTAGATATGGTGAATTGACATTAAGTGCGCGCGTGACGATGAAGAACAAGTTTAAGGATAAGCGGAGTTTAATGAGGACGAATGTTGCTCTATTTGCGTCCTTGAACAATCTACTCCTGAAATGATTCCAGTTAACGTTAGCGAATAATCTCGACCTTGGTTTCCGAGGAAACCAAAGTCGCGTCGATGATCAACGAGTCCTCCCAGAAGATCTGCAACAGCATGGACCGAACGATCCGTCCTGTTGGACCGTTTACCAAACAGTCAAACTTCTCGCGAAAGAGATCATTGAACCTCAGGCCTTTGCGCCACATCGCGAACCCAACAGATTTCTCGATTTTCTCAGATTGATTCCAATCGATCTGACATTTCTCAAGACGGAATTGACTAACAATAAGATATACGGTATGAAAACGATACCCATCAGAAAGTAGTATGATTGTACATCGACGCGATACACCGGAACGATACCGGACGTTCGAAAGAAGGCGCGCGAAACAGATCGTTCTCCAGCAGAGACCAAAACTTACCCGTCCCCATGGCTGACAGTAGCAGCCTTCTTCCGCCTCAATCCTTCCGCGTATCCAGGATGCAATCTTGACTGAGTTTTTTTCACTATGCAGAAAAGGAAATTATAAAAAAAGGCGACCACGATGAGTGGATGCGATATGATCGAAAGGACGACCTCTTCGTCGTCCAGTCGGGAGACCGCGGACGAACTGGTACCCGGAGAAGACTTTTGGTGAGACTCCGACGTGAGACACGACGACGTCATCGCTAGCCTGGTGTCTCATTGGCCGACAGTCCTCTTGGTTCCTCTCTCTTTCTGTGAGTGTTCCCTTCCTCTCCTTTTCCTTCTACGCGAGTTCCTCTCGAGCGCGGCTCACGTATACGCGTCCTCTCCCTCTTTCAGGCTTTCCTCCTCCTTCTCTTGCTCGTGCTCATTATTTCACCTGCTCTCTTCAGCTCATATATTTGCTCGAGATATTTCCGTCTCGCTCTGTCGCACTCCCACGGCTGGACTAAGCTCACGGTAGAGTCACTATGTACTCCAAGTCAGTGAGCTCAACGCCTGGAACCAATCTTCCTGACTCGACTTGCATGAAGGCCTGTATAAGGTATACGTGAAGCACGGATAGTTGCAACTTATGTCTCGCTGGTTGGACGATACTGTAGGTAAAGGTCAGTTAGCGTTATCTAAGGTAAATCCGGCGTCGTACATATTTAGAAGGTTAACGAGTTATCAAACTCTTTTGATAACTAACTGAAGAATTTTGCATACACTAGAATACTTTATAATATTAAAAATCATAGTGATTAGTTGTTGGTACTTACAAATATTACGAGAACCTGCAATAGAATCAAGATTATTTTCTTAAAGAATATTATTAAAATAACATGACTTCAAGATTCTTAGGAAAACTTAATTAGTTATTTAAATATTAAGTCACGCAATACAATTTCTGTTTTTTACATTAATTTGCACATGTTATGCACAATTTAACGAAGATACTATCGTAAAATAGAGGTACAATAAGTATACAATAAAGATTGTAAGAGTAGTAGTAAGAATAAGCTGTCGAGTAAATTACAAAAGAGTTATATGCTACGAATTAATAACTGGATAAAACGCGTCGGAAATGAATTTTATAGATTCTATTAACGATCGTGCTAAAACAATGATAAATATTATCTTCAAAATAACATTCTTCCTAAAAGGTTCGACAATACTAATTGAACTATATAATAATTATATTTAAAATAATTAAAATTGAAGTCTTTTGCTTGAACATTATCATATAAAATTTCTATTCCCCTTTTTACATTGAGAATTTCCTCTCTTTATCGACATATTATTACGCAAAATAATTTATAATTATTTTTATGTTCAATTTTCTATTGCATCTTGAAACAATAAATAATATTAAATCAAATGAGATTAATGTAATGCAATAATATAATATATTAATTATTAATTATAATATTTTGTTGACTGGGCGATTTTTTCCAAAGAAAAATTTAGTTGGATATATTTAAGGCTATAACAAATTAACAATAACTTTTTTCTATCTTGCATATGCCATTTTATATAAAAAAAAAGAGTCTTCGGTATTTATTCGCGAAGCTTAGATATCATATATTATATATTTATAATCGATTAACCGAAGAGATCGCGTTGCAGAAGTATCACAATAAGCAAATCTTTGCTCAAATTAATGGAAGTTATAGAACTGCCAAGGTCTCATGGATCGCTGCTCGATGCCTCAAAAGATTGTGCCTTGCATCACGGATCGTTGCGTCGATTTGTGCGGAAGAAAACAATTCATAGGATTTAGAGAGATCTTAGCAAAATATTTATTGTTCATCTTGAATCTTTATATATTAAATATCCAGACGAATATTACCATTTTTATTATATATTTTTGCTCTGAACAAGAAAACGAAACGTATATCTTATTAAACCTAAAGCACTATCGCTTTAAAGTTTTCAATTCGCTCAAACTCTTAAAGAAATATACCGAAAGAATTTGATTCATGCTTTTTCAAAGATTTTTATTCATTTTCAATTTCAAATTATATTACGTGCAAAAATTTATCATTCTAAATTACGAAACAAATTATCGATATGATGAATGAAATTGAAGTGACTTACGAGAATTTCGAGAAAATAACTTCACTTTTTTTAAGAGAATAAAAATTAAAATTTTTTTTAAATTTTTCTTTGATTTTCACGAAAATTCAAAATACGAACTAACAAAGATGCGCGGATTTTACGCGATTCTAGTGACACTGTAGCCCGTAGAACCTGCGAGCACGATGGTGTCGGTGAACCCGGGACGCCTCGGGGCGTTTCGCAGGCGCGGGTCGCGAGAAGAATCTGCGGACGCGCAAGGTATACAGTTTGCGCCATTATATTTAATTTATCGCGCGCGCTTTTCTAGGCGGTTTGACTGATTCGTGCGAGAATAAGCTACGTACAATCCCGAGGAGTCTGGCGGACAATCAACGTTATGAATAAACATTTTCGCGCCGGCTCTAATGACCGTACCATCGTACGAGGATGAACAAGCACTTCCTAAATTTTACACTGTACTATATGTATAATGTAGATTCCCTGACTGAAATAAACGCTCCGAAGAGCGGGTTAATTTTTAAATGAGGGCAAGCGCTTCTTGCACTTTGCTTTACACCAAGAAGAGAACAAAGACAAGTATGTACAAATATATATTTAAAAAAAGAAGTTATTAGTATTCTGTTTTCTTCCTCTGTTTCTGAATGGCATTGAATTTTGCCAAAAAAATGTTATATTATTTAAATTGATTTTGTTATTAAATGTATCTTAATATATGTGCAGAAAATCAGGTTTATAAAAATTTCTTTGCTGACTCATTGCTCAACTCTCTCTCTCTCTCTCTCTCTCTCTCTCTCTCTCTCTCTCTCTCTCTCTCTCTTACTATTTTATGTTTCTAATTGTCACGAAGTAGTTACTCTTATGCTCACTCATCATTTCCAAGACTTAAAAAGTTGTCTGCGTCCATGAAAGGGTCCACTTTTTCATGCTGTGCGTACGCAATGATTCTATCCATTATTAAAGCTTATAGTAATAACGAGCAAAAAATGCAAAGAGGCATCAAAAGGGTATCATATTTTTCAATTTTTTAATCTTCTATTACGGTATCTTTTGCGGCACTCAATACGAACATTCCATCATAATATTACTCTTTTATACTCTCAATCAAGAAGTCTAATATTCCCACTTAATTATTACGTGTTTTATAGTACAAACAATTTCATTATTAGATATTTAAATAATTTAAAACAAATTGAAAACAAATGAGAGATAAATTCTCTTTTATTATTTTTTATTTAAAACAAATTTTTGTGTAATAGTTTTTAATCATCTCTCCCTCCCTTGTTCTAGCCTTGGAGCGAGTATTACATTCAATTCAAAGAGATTTGATTCTGTTAAAGCTAATATGCTTGTAATGAGAAAACATAATATTCACACGCATAATTGAAATTTTAATACAATAATTATGATAAATAAAATTGTCATCGCATTCGCGCAAATGAGTTGGAATTTTTGTATTGTTCTCATTAATATATTGATGTATATCGTAGAATAAACATCATAATGCTCGTAGTCAATATGACTTCATAATTTTCCAATTAAATTCTGACATCTTCACTTGTATTTAAAGTAACACATTGCCTATTATAAATGCAGCTATTTTACGTTATATTTTATGTTTTATCTTTTACAATTTTAACGTCACTTTCGATTTAAAATTAAAAGGCCGCATAAAGTTTGGCAATAACACAACGAAGATGCAAGTCTACGGCCCTGCAGAGAGGCACTTTTCCGAACGTGGAGTTATTGCAAACCGATTCCTGCAAGACGATGTAAGGTAACGGGTTTGCGACGGTTCGCGCGTTCATTTCGTATTCCCTTCGACGACACATCTCATCCGCCGCATCAAGACCGGGGAACGACGTCGATTGCCCAAGCAAGCAGGTTCGACCGATTGAATCTGCGGCTCGATCGAATTTCAAAAGCTGAAGCGGTAGCTAAGCACCCGGTGTGAAACCACCTTGTAAACGATGACCACCGATGTTTTGTACGCCCCGTCGATCATGTTTAGGGCACGCGTCCACGTGAGACGAGATTTACACTACATTAGTCGAGTGTGTCCCTAACCACATCTCGCAGAGGTAAAACGTATGATCATAAGTTTTTACATTTAATTAGGAAGTGACTAGAAATAAAAAAGATAACTGGCATCTTTGTCGTTCTAATAATTTTTTTATAAATTTCGTTAACGTTATTAGGCTGAGAATACACTCACTTGAAAAGATCCTTCTCGTAAATCGCAGCATAGCTGTACATACGTACTGAGAAATAAGGGAGGGATTCATCCCGCTGCAATTATTTAAGCACGTTAATAACACGTCATACCGATGATGACCAGCAATAAAATATAAGCAAACGAAATTTCTAATTTATCTGTCCACATTTATCATGGAGCATAGATGATTACGCGAATGAGCGTGGATAAGCATCCCCGATAAAGCATAAACTCATTGGCGTGGCGGTAAATTTCCAACTCCCCTTTGCTTATATAGTATTACGCCGAGTTCCTACCCGAGGGGCTTAAACACACGCATTCCATGGGATACTCTATTATGTAAATAATTATCTACAATCATTCGTGCGTAAACGGCTCGCCGTGAATAGTAAATGCGAAAAGGAGAAGAAATATGCGAAATTACTTACATATATATTTTATTGTCCGTGAATACGCTAAACATCGCGATTAAGTGGTATCTTCACCAGTGTCATTTGTATCATTCTGATAACGACATGCGAGCGAATCGAGGGGATACACGAAGAGACTTTACCGTGATAATTGGTCAATTTGCGAAGGCACGTGTCTGTCTCTCGGTGTAGTGAATGATCGCTGTCGATCTGTTGATTCATCATTGCATTACGCAATAATGCGAACCGCATACGCATTGCGAATGTGCCCGCGCGCGCGCATCTGATAATGCGCTTCTTTCCGCGAGTCAAGCGTGCAAACAGGAATTCCTAGATTGGTCGATGCCGTAACATGCTAACTACTCTGATCATAACATCGAGCAATTTCCATTTGCTTTAAATCATTGTCACGAACAATTTATGCAAACGAAAAGTATATTTA